TGTTTTTTCTTCAACCCTCAGAGCTGCACTTACAGTGTGATTTGCCAGTAGGTGCCAGTGCTTATAGGTTTTGTACTAGGTGTCATGGAAACAAACAAAAAAAGCTTTTTTGGAGACTACGAGGATAGAAATTGTTGAACAAATACCTTATTTCAAATACAATTATGGGTAGAGCTGATTTCACATCCACTTGTATCAGCTATGATGTAGTTTTTCCAAAAATAAATTAAAAGAATGATATATTAAACCAATGACAATCAGAAATCTCCAGGCACACTCTTTAGCAAAATGTTTAAAAATGCCTTAAAAGCAATATTTGACCAGCCTTCTCCAGCTGATTATCCCTTATCTCCATTTTTCTGTTTATTCATTTAAATAACCTAGCCCCTCTTCACATTGGACACCTATAGCCACTCCAAACCAGGCAGTGACTAAATAGACCTCTTAATACACCAGCTTGCAATCCCCCAACCACCCCTCTATCCTGCCTATCCGACCTTATTAATCTTGTCTCCACCCAACAATTGTATCTTCCATTCATTGCAAACATAAGACACAGTATCTGAAGTGAAACAGAATGAATATTAAGTGGGTAGCAGTTGGACCAGGCTCACAGTACTACTGTAAATAGTATCCCCCCCCCCCCCTCTCTCTATGGCTCTCTCAATCATGCTTCTCCAGCTCCACGATAAAGCACCATGTAGAGTGGTATGAGCTCCATCAGCCATGCAGATGAGTCCTGCTTCTTTTACCTTAATTAGAGCTCCCAGGGGACTGGCTGTGGGCGCGAGCAGCATCAGCCTCTCATTCCACAGAGATACCTTTCATCAAGCTCGAGAACACCAGTAGGAAAACTGACATGCGTACAATGGCTCAGGCACTGCACAGCAGAGATTTTAAAAGCAGTCATTAATGGGAAATGTTCCAGCATGATATTCAAGGCTGGTCATTTTAACAGCAGGGAGAAATTTGACATTTGACAGAAACTGAAGTCCAACCAGTAGAATATAAAAGCTCTATTGTTCACATAAACATACAGTATACGGACGGTGAGAAATGAGGAGTTCAGTCAGGCAGAGCTGAAACCATTAGTTAATTCATTGATATTTTGAAGCAAAAATTCCCCAAATTGCATGCAGTTTCTAAAATGTGGTAATTTACATTGAATTTTGCAATTTGTTTGGACAAAACAAGCAAATTGATGCCATACAGTACTATTTCCTGATAAGAAGCAAAGGTCTAATCAAATATTCAAGAAAATAACTGATATTGTTGATCAATTAAATATTTAGTTTTTTCATAATAAAAATAAGAAGTAGGTTTACAGCATAATGTCACATTTGTTGTAGACCTACTGTGTATTGTTATGATACATTTTGTTTTTTATTACAAATTTCACAAATATCAATATCTTCTAAATAATTGTAAAGTATTTTATCCAAAATACAAATATGTTCAGATGACAATTAGAAGACTTTTGTCATTTTTGTTTGAAAATTAATTAATAATAATTTTGTGATCCATCTACCAATAGTTTATTGGAATTGTTTCTGCTGAAAGTCAATTAAAATATTGTTTTAAACAATTTGAAAACTATCAGAACATTCTAATGGTCTAACAACTATCGCACGACATACACTGAAAATAAAAAAAAAGTAAAAAAAAAAGTAATTATAAACTGTCCCCTCTTTCCGCACACCTTCCTGTCCCTCCCCTTTAAACGGGGAGGGGCTCCGGTGCTCTCCCCCAGCCCGGTGCTCGCCGCTGCGCTCCGGGAGGGGAGAGAGGGAGAGAGGGCTGGCTGAGAGCGGACGCGTCGGAAACCTCCCTGGAGGGCCCCCGTGTAATTTGATGCATGCTGTTAAAGCTTAGAGTATATTGTCTTCCCTTTGCTTATGAAGCCTCCACCCACCGGCCCACCCTACATTTAGCGGATCATGTGACTCGGGGTAAGTCATTTGCAAGTACAACAGTTCTCTGTGCGCTCCCATTCATTTCCTGAGAACTGCCTGAGCTGAGCAGCTGAGAGGCAGAAGGGGAGGGAGCTGCTCACTCACACACTCTCACACACACATTGTCACACACACGTACATACACGCAGAGTGAGAGAAGAGGAGAGGGAGAGGAGGATAGGAGACAGAGAGGATTGTAGAAAAGGAAAACAGTCTCCACGGCTCTGCAGCTTCTGACAAGGTCTGTGCATTTTTTCGTCCTGTTCCTCTGCTGGCTGCTGCTGTGTGCTTCATTTGTCACGTTGCTGGGCTTTGTGCTTGTGTTCAGTGCGTGTCGTTCAGCTGTCATTTCCCTGTCACAGCAGATGACAGCTCAGATCACCTATGGCATTGTGTTTGGTGTCTGTCAGTGGGGGAAAACAAGAGACCCTGCATGGTGCTGACTGGACCTGAAACACTTATTCCCAATGTAAAATCATCAGCTGTCATAACAAAAGAGGGAACAAAAGTGATTGTACACTGATGACCATGGGCATTATCAGCATCCTGACTTCAGCTGCATGCAGTTGTCCTATTTATTGCTTATTTACCTCTGAAATAACTTATCAGCAGAGCAGAGTAGCAGCATTGTAGAGAAATATTGCATGCCTTGGTGTAAGTGTGAAAGTGAGACCAAAGCACCAAACTCTCTCTCAGCACTTCTCACTAGAAAAACAAAGTTTGCTGCTTGTCAGAGTTTTGCGCATGCCTTTAGAGAGTTGTGCATGTGTGGGTGTTGCATGTGTGTGAAGCATTGTGGTGTGTGTTTGTGTGTGTGTGAGAGAGAGAGAGAGAGAGAGAGAGAGAGAGAGAGAGAGAGAGATAGAGAGAGAGAGAGAGAGAGAGGGAGGCTTGTTTGCCTACTTGCCCACTGTGGCCGCTTAGAGACAGAGAAACGAGACTGTTAGCAACGGGTTAAACATTAGGAGGCTCGGGTAGCGGAGGAAGGACACTGGGGGGAGGTGTGTGTGTGTGCGTGTGTGTGTGTGTGTGTGTGTGTGTGTGTGTGTGTGTGTGTGTGTGTGTGTGTGGGAGTGTTGCAGGGGTGGTGTCTTGGATGTCATCGGCAGCACTCTCACTTCCAGGGTAATAGTCATTGGTATTGATGGCTGGCTGTCAGAGAGGCAGAGAGCCACCAGGTTGGGGAGAGTGGCCGGGGGCTGGCCCTTGGCTGTTATTTTCAATTACAGGGGACCAGGGCAGAGCTGACAGCAAAGGCATTTGTACATCCAACAAGGGGGAGGAGGAGGGTGTGTGTGTGTGTGTGTGTGAAGGGGAGGGGAAGGCGGGGGCCGGAGGGAGGAGGAGGGTGGGAGGGAGATGAGACTGGCCTCTGCTCCTGGGTTTGATGTGGAAACTGAGCGCTGACCTCTGTGACTTTACCCCCGCGTTGCAGAGAGGCCCTGTCTTGCCTTTAACTGTGTGACAGCCGTAGGGTGTGTGTATGTGTGCGTTTTAAGTGGGGGTCTCATCAACAACCAAAAAAAGGCAGAAGGGAGGAGGGCTGGGTCATGTATGTGTTGAGCAGACCCCCTGCAGCTCACGGATGTTCAGAGTGAGATTAGTGCCCATTTAAACTCTCACTTAAATCCATTTACAAAAGAGGTCTTCTCCCTGCGCATGAATAAGCAGGCTGATATTAGCACACATGCAGAAGAGACTCTACGCTGTCAGTGAGCAGCGAAGAAGATTCATATTGGATCTCTGAAATGTGCCATTACCTGAAATTAATGTCATTCTGCATTGTATTTTTATCACAATATAAATCAATGCTGAAGAATACACTTCAGTCTCACTTCTACAACATTGACCAACATGTCGAGGTGTCACAGTCAGCACTAGATAGTATAGCTGCCATTAGTGGTGTTTAGAACACGTACGGACAAATCCTTAACACTGAATCTTCAAACTGAACTGACTTTAATGGATCTTTATTGTCACTTAACGATTCAGTGGCTCTCCGCAGAGGAGCTTCTCTCACTGCTCACTGAAAGCATTGTTTAGATCAGTCGTGGTATAAAGTACATTTAAAGTATATTGAAAGACCACGAAAGCCACAGAAACCGTCTTTATGTGGTAACTCACAAATAGTTTGCTTCTGAGCTGTTGATCTTAGAAAGTGTTTGTTCTGACTGGATGTACTTAGCTGATGACAGTCAACTGTTCACTTTTTGAAGATGTGGATATCGAGTTTTGTTTAAAAAATAACGTCATTGGCTAGGTTAGAAAATAAGTGAATGAAAAACAGTACATTTTTGAATTAAGTGATTTGAAGTAGCGTGCTTTGTCATTTCAACATATAGCTGTCATCCTCTTACAGCATTTTTTAAAGAGTTGAAAAAGGCTTTTCAAATGTTTGAATTGGCATATTCTGTTTGAATGTCTTTCACTTTATGTCATGATAAGTCAAATTGGTCAGTAATTCAAAACAGTACCTAAATAATGAACAAAAAAGTGTGTTGTCCATGCACTCAACAAAACAAACTGTATCCATGTATTGCATAAGTTTATGCAACGACCCAATCAGCAGACAATATCAAGACGTAGGGAGGCTGTGGCTCAGTGGGTAGTGTGATGGACTTCGAATCAGGGGGTAGCAAGTTTGAGTCCCACTGCAGTCAGCATGTCGTTGTGTCCCTGGGCAAGACACTTCACCCCAAATTGCTCCTGTGGGCATTGTCCACAGTACTCAATGTATGTAACTCGCTTTGGAAAAACGCGTCTAACAAATGACATGTAATGTAATGTAAAAGACATGCTTAACACTGGTGAATATTCAGTGGGATTTTCGAACAAAAATGACGAAAAAAATGTTAGGAGAAGATCATAGTCTGGGTTAAAATCACTACACAAGAACATGCACTCGATGAAATCCTGATATGATTATGAATGATATCAAATCAAGTTTTATTTATATAGCACATTTCTAAAAAAAAATTGGTAGAGCCAAAGTGCTGTACATATAATAAAAATAGCCTACAGTAATATACAGATATAAAAAATCATATGGTTTTCATCATGAACAATATAAAGTAGTACCAAGTAGTTTCCCCCCGTCAGCATCAAGCTGCTATACTGTCTCTCTCATTCCGTCAATGGCTCAACCCCCCACCCCCGACACGGTCCAAGGGCTTATGATAGAGATCAGTGCAGGTGGGGGGACTCAATTAAAAAGCCAATCACCAACAGATAGACTACATCCGTCCATCAACACTACTCTGCCCAGCCCATTTAATTGCGCTGCAGGATTCCCCACCAAAGGCATCATCTGTCTGCTACACATCACAACACAAATTGGGTGCGCGTTGACAGATTGAATCTTTCAGGCAGAAGCGCTGCGCTGTAGTATGTGCAATCTAACAACACTGTCTTATTCAGGGAGATGTGAAACTCCCTGTATTACCCCTAATCAGCCGGGTTAACTGCTGCCATATTGACGGACTGCTGGATCATTGATCCAGGTGGGTGTTACGGAGTGTATCGTCATTGATTGCAGATAGACCGCAGTGCACTGGATTCATTTGGGTCTCTGACTGTAAGCCGAAGCCAAAGAGGAGTGAGTTGGGTTTTATTGGTCGGTTGTGCTCAAGGTGCATTGTGGGATATCCTGTGGCCTCTGGTCAGGGAGTTGGTGTTGCGTCAAACACAGATTTTCAGCCACAGGAGACTATTATATAGGCAAAGACCCTGAAACACAATGACACACACTGCAATGCTCTTACAATAGACTAGCATGTCAAGGGCATGCGTATACAATGTGTGAGACAGACGGCACCCAAATAGACGGGTGACTTTGTTTATTGATAGATGTACCTGAGCAAAAGTCATAAGGACAAAAAGGTTACAGACCGAGAGGGTTAAACAGCTTAACATTTTTGCAGTTATTGTGCTGGTAATCCATTCTGTTAGCGTTTGTGGTGACGTTGAAGTGCCTGTGCGTGAAATAAGACAAATATTAATAGGCGATGGATGTGAGCTGAACTCCCCAAGGCTGTTATTGCACCATGTCAGAAGATGACAAAATGTTCTCTCCCTTTGCGATTTCTCATGTGGATTCAACCTTTGACCCCAGTGTCCAGCCCACGTTTGTTTACCAAAATTGAGTTAAGGGTGTACATGGAGTGCTAGAGCATGTGTGTTTTGTGACTCTGCACGAGAGAGAGGGAGAGAGAGAGAAGAGTAGGGAAAGTATTGTGCAACTGCCAGTGCGTCTGAAGCTTATCGTCTAAGTATTGAACACAGACAGAACGAAAAACAATTGGAAAATGCGTGATTACAGCTCGTCAAACATCACGGTGAGTATTTTACATTTTGCTGCGTTGCTCTGGGGAATTATTTTAAGAGCCTATTATTGTTTTAACCTCTCTAGAGCACCCGAGCTTATCTTTTGACATAAAGAAAAGTTGCCAACAAACCGAGGCAGAATTTAAGGTGATGCTGCCTGACAAGCGCAGTGATCCACGTTTTGATTTTTTCTTGTAATGACACTATCTCTAGGGGTAGCACACTCAGTGCTTACTGGAAATGACTTTCCCCTCAGACTCAGATTTTAAGGTTGCTCAACATGTTTCCATGGCTAGGATGGAAAGGCATGTCAATGGAAGGCCTGTCTATCTATGTTGATGTTTCCCCTGTCGGACAAGTGTGTATTTTACTTTGGCCAAATATGGTTGGTGATCAGGGGGAAGGAGAAAAGGAAGGGAGCCAAGAAAAGAGGATGGAAGAGTGTTCAAAGTCAGCACTTTGTGATTTGGACCCTTTTTTAGCTGGTTTTTAAGAGTTTCCCTTTACAGAACCTTTGGGGAGCTGCTTCTCTCAAGCCTCGGTGCAGATGGTTTCAGCAGACCTGCGTTCGGATGCTGCAGGGATCACGGTGAACTTTGTTTTCAGTTGTACTGTAGGTCAAGGAAATTATGCAAACAACATGTGGAATCGATTTGGGGTGCCTGTGGCATTCCACAGGATCTTTGGCTTTAACTCAAACAAATGTAGGTTCAAGCTCTGGACCATAACTCCTCTTAATTATCGGCTTCAACCAGGTATCAGCACGGCACCACATCAGTTGGAAAATAGAGAAAAAATGATCGAAGCGAAGGCGTGAGTAGATGAGTAATAGAGGTAAACACAGCTGCTGGCTTTTATTGAGTAGTGTTGGAGAGCTGAAATGGGTCAAACCAAGGGGAAAAACTCGGTGAGCGAAAATAACTGCGCGCACATTTGAAGTAATAAAGTGTCAGTGTGTTGGCATGTTTTGGTTGGTCCGTTATTTTCTGTTTCCATTTGGCATACATTAGGGTGGATTTGGCTGTGTCAGCACAAAGTGAGGTTAGATAGGGTATAGCACTCCGTGATGCTGCATCAAGAGGACACTGCAAGACTATTAAAGTGATGTGTGTGTGTGTGTGTGTGTGTGTGTGTGTGTGTGTGTGTGTGTGTGTGTGTGTGTGTGTGTGTGTGTGTGTGTGGTGTGTGTGTGTGTGTGTGTGTGTGTGTGTGTGTGTGTGTGTGTGTGTGTGTGTGTGTGTGTGTGTGTGTGTGTGTGTGTGTGTGTGTGTGTGTGTGTGTGTGTGTGTGTGTGTGTGTGTGTGTGTGTGTGTGTGTGTGGTGTGTGTGTGTGTGTGTGTGTGTGTGTGTGTGTGTGTGTGTGTGTGGTGTGTGTGTGTGTGTGTGTGTGTGTGTGTGTGTGTGTGTGTGTGTGTGTGTGTGTGTGTGTGGCTTTGTTCGAATCACAAGGGATGGCAAGTGAAAGAAAAAGGGCACATGGAGCAAAGCAAAAAAAGTGTGTGTGTTTAAGTGCTTCAGATGGTATTATTCTATGCAACTTGTTTGTAGTAGATACTGTAGATGAGTCAGTGTATTGGTGCCTCTGCATGCGCACATTGTACAGTTATTGTAAAACATATAGGTCGATCTTTGAGAGTGCATGTGAGTGCACATGTGCTGTGATGCATTCAGCAGACAAGCTATCGTGAGTAGTATGTACATAGTGCATATGTTGGGGGAAGGGGGTTCACTCGCACACTCATTCGGACACGCATGTTGTAACACAAGCACACACACACATACACTATCAGAGCCTAAGGGGATAAAAGGCTACTCACAAAAAAAGGGCAGGAGTGTATTAGGGACGTGAGCAAAAAAGAGAGTGTGTGGGTGGGTGGTGGTCGTAGTGGTACCGGGAAGGATGCAGGTCATTGTGAGGATGCTAATCTAATGCATCCCACTTCTCGCCTCACTCTGACCCTCTGCTCCAGTACACAAAAAGCGGCTCTAACCTTTGCCTTATTGCAGCAATGACTAGGAATCATGATTAAGTTACTCACATTATGTGGTTTTAAGACTTTCATTATTATATGTCAACAGATTTCACATAACTGTATTCGGTTGGTTGAAAGCAATAATGTTAAGTTGAACCTCGTTTTTTTATTTCAACTTTTTAGTAACCTAATCAAATTATGTGAAATCTGTCGACATAATACATTTAATTAAAGTCGACATTTACATTTTTTCACATACTCTGCAGAATTTGTTTATTTTCCATTTTGTATTTTTATTGAAAAGCAGCTATTAAAGCATCTGGAAGAAAGTCTTAACTGGTTTACAATTATTTGCTGGGAATTTCAAACAGGACTGATCCGATGCACCCCTGTCAGTTTGAGATGATTATGAAGCTCTGCTGTGTGTGGTCACCTCGACCTAGGACCTGTGCACTGAGAGTAAATAAGAGACGAGGACAGAGTCACTGAGTGCATTCTTTATTGATTTCTCCTTTTTCTCTGTATCTCCCTCTCTCCCATGCGCACATGCAGGATAGCCCCAGTGTGTGAACTTCCCTATGATCATGCAAAATGTGGCAGTATATTCCTGAAGTGCTGCGCCAATTACACGCGTTTGTTCTCGGCTCCACCTCCCCCTCCTTTGGTACAAGTGAGGTTTTTGTGTCAGTGGCTATTTTAGATGCACAGCCACTGACCCTACCGCATTTACTAAGCTGTGTGTGTGAGTGCGTGTGTCTGTGCGTGTGAAGGGTGTTCTAGGGAGGTCACCCGATTATGTTGAAACAGGAAGAGCTCACAGTGTATTGGCTCTTTAGGAGCTGTTTTGTGGCTTCTATTTGTGGTTTCTTTAGCGCCCAACTCAATCCAGCCCCTCGCACATGATATTGAACTTATTCTTTCACATCAAAATGATCTTCAATTGGACATAAACTGCCTCGAATGGTGTCACAAATTGCTTTGACTTGTAAGTCGAAGCTCACTATGCCACCTCACTTTAGAGCTGTCACAGTCACAGCTTGTTTAGCTGTTTCTCCGTTGTATTTGCGGCACATGATGCAAGAGGATGTCAGACTCTTCTGTTTACCTCTCTCTAGAGCGCTGTGGAGGAGTGTGTGTATTTGTGTGTTTTTGGTGTGTGCATGCTGTAGGTGTGTGTGGGTGTCTTTTTGTGTTGAATGGGCATCTATATTCTTTTTCTTCCTAAGCATAGCTGTATTGAGAGACAGAGATGTGTTTGTATGAGTCTGTCTCTTAACCTAAGATAAATATGGTTCATTGTGGTTGCAGGCAGGGGTCACAAGGTGTGTGTGTGTGTCTGAGTGTGTGTGTGTGTGTGTATAACCAGGTTTTAGAACAGAGCAGGGACTCAGGAAGTCAGCTTTATAAGAAATGCGTTTGACACACAGACAGAGACACAGACAAAACCAGACAGTGACTGTCTCTTCTTTTTACGCTTTGAGTGTTTCCTTTCAGCACAAGTAGCTTCTTCATTTACAGTTTCACAAGACCTTAGAAGGGACGGAGGTGATATTGTCGTAGGTGGGGAGCTTTTTACAAAGACAAAAAAATTAAATCACTAAGGATTTCCCCTTTAACCTGTGAAAAAAAGGATTGTTTTTACAGAAATTCAAGCTGCTGAGTTTCCTTTTTAAAGAGACACTAGAAACACATCTGGTTAGAGTATTATTACTGGCAGTAATAAGTATGCATGGGCTGATAGGACAGTGGGTGTGTGTGTATTGTTTAATTTGTTTGGATGCATGTCTGTGCACACTCTTTCTGCACCTTTTTTATGCTGTGTAAACAAAACTTTTACCTACAAATTATTGGATTTATATTTCTGTGTGTGCTGGTGAAGTCAGTTGACTCGCGCTGCATCCGGCGACCTCATCCCCCCTCATCCCGACAGGATTACTGACACAGGATCCCCCTGCCCCTGGCAGAAATAGCAAGGACCCAAGGGCAATCTGGCAGAATATGGGAACTTCCGTGGGTGTGCAAATGTGTGTTGTTTCTGTGTGTGTGTTTTCTATGTTTTTATATGAGTATCAGCTCTCTGGCTAATCCTATAACATGAGTTCACTGCTCTTTATCACACACACATCATTTAATTTATATTATGCTGTATACTGTAAATGAAGGAACATTTTTGTCTGAGATGTGTACAGGAACTTACATAATGAGGTCATTGTGCAGGGATTACAAGTGTTGGCACTCGTTGCTGAGCTCTTTTTCTACATATAGTGACTGATTCAAACCCCCTGAACCCAGGCTTAGCAACCCACTCTGCGTTGCACACATTTATAATAATTTGCTGTCCACTATAACATAGATTACTTACCACCATAAAAGCAAGGATCTGTAATGTGGAGGTGGCCTAATCTGTGCCAGTTTCTTTATACAGGGTCACACATTTGCAGTTTTTGCGTTTTTTCTCAAAGCTTACTTACTTACTACGATGGAGGTGGATTTTTATTCTGATGTATGGATCAATCCGATCTATACTCACCTTTTAGCCGTTAGTATTCAGTGGGCAAATGGTTTCATCTTTGGGGCTGTCACAGTCTATTTCATTTTATTTTCAAGCATGACGATCATTCACTCTTTTTCACTTTATGAAAGCACTTCCATAAAGTGATGGGTCTTATATTATTTTGCTGCTAGTGGTGGCCTCTTTAAATATAATCATCCTCTTGAATGTGTCTATCTAGCCGCCAAGTTTTGTGACATCAAAATGGAACCATTAGATGTTTTTTTGAATTGCAGTCTGCATTTGTAGGAGCCCAGTTATTCATGTACGTCACATCAAATTCAACAACATGGTGAAGCCAGGATAGCCTCAGACAGATAGAGAATGACATTCAGTTTGAATTGATGGGACCTGATAAGCTCCCAAAGTTTGGCCGAATGTCCTGGAGAGGAAAGCATCCTATGCAAGTGTTTTCTGTCTAATAATAATAACTGTGCTCATGAAGAACGCAGTGTCTTGCCTCTGTGGAACTGATTGATTCCCAGAG